ACACCAAAAATATAGCCGGCAATTTTAATTGCTCTGTGAGCCTCAAAATTACATCTCATCATACGTTTATTATATTCCACTTCCACTAGAGTGTAAACACAGCGTACCAATACTTGTTACGCTGAAGGCGAATCCAATTCAGGAAACATCATTAGACTTATAAAGGTATCAATAATTTGGAAAGAACATGGGCATCTCGTAAATATGCACTTTTCCTAAAACGGACTGCAAATACATCCGGAGGCACTTGCAGTCAATACCCAGTATACTTCCCTCTGTCCAGGACCTTGAACTAGCCTTCATATCAATCAGTATTTCAACTGCACTCAAGCAGACCTATATGTTAAAAAAACATTAAAATTCTCCCATGATTTATGATCCACGTCGTATCAAGTACATTTGTGTACGTACATAATTCCCTCTGACTGGCAGATCTACTGAGAAAAATGGGCTCCGAGAACACTCGTTTTCATTAGTTCCCTGTCCCGGTCCTAATATTCATGAAATTGTAAGAAAAAAGGACAGAGCGGAACATAACCTGCAGGACAACGTAGGCGTGCTAAGATGTTAGATTCTAAAAATACGAAATTCCGAGATAAGGCGAAGTCAGACTGGACTTTTGGTTAAAGATGCCCTATGCACCGGCTCGTTTGATATAGTAGATTGCGTTCGTTTCAACCGAGAAAACGAACACGCGGATGTATTTAATTTAAAATTCTGAAATATCAATTGTCCAAATTTAAAAGTATATCCTGCAGCATATAGAGTTCCACCTCAGTAAACCAACCACTAATGTGTTCGGCTGTATCAAACGACTATAATGCAGCTGAATGTCGGAGACCATGACACTTGGCACATATTTGCGTTACGCAGATAAGGGTGTTTTGTCACTTCAGGCAGCATAGTGCTTCAACGCAGCGGTAAAATAGTTAATATGAAGAAATATGCATTTAAACAAGGATTGTGCGTTTGAAATTTCACCCGAATATGCAATGGTTGAACAAATTGGCAACACTTTCATCCCTAACCGGGTAACCAAACTAAATAAGGAGATAGATGTTAAGATATAAATATCATGCTTACAGTAAAATTTGTATATTTGGGCCCACTCCACCACACATTTTAAGCGAACCACTTAAAAATTTATTTTTGCATAGTCATCAGAACTGCTTATCGAGGAAAGCGCTAAAAAGTACGACCAATACAAGCAAAAACTAAAGAAACCAAAACTCCATGCATTATCCTATAACAGTTGCAATTTTAAACTAAAAAGAAAGCTGACCTGGTTGACAAGAGAGCAGACTTTTAGCCAAACCTAATTGTCCGGCAGAAGCGGTGAAAGGTGCTCCAATTTGCGTGTCAGTTTGTCACAGGGAAACCAGTCGGTCCCTCATGCCTTCACAATAGACGGAATAAAAGATAAGATCTATTTGGCCGCTCTGGACATGACAGAAGGCCACATTTTTGCATGGAAAATTCTATATTTAAACATCAAGACAAAGAATAGCATCAAAATTGTTAAGCGCCCTTGATAAACTTGACCTGATACTCAGCGAATACCTATAACACCAAAAGTGCATCTCAGTGGTCAATCGGTAGTGTGATATTTGGAGGGAAATTTTAGCCGTCATACTACCGAAAGAGTAAATTAGTATTGGTAATTCAGTCAGGAACTTATGACTTCGTCTGCATTCATGCTAAAAACGTAGTATAATCCTTACGCGATGAGGCATAAAAGACGCCATAGCTGGATGGACACAGATGGCGCACAAGTCCGCAGCCGTAGGAGTCCTTCCTTCGAAAACATTTCAGATAAAGTGTGTAGGGGGCAGGGGTTATGCACAACTCCCGATCTCCTCTGTGGCACTGAATACACAAACTGCTTTATAAATTCCCACGTGTAGCCATCACTGGGGCCTGCGTCGCGGCACACCTTCCACTGATTTCTTCATTGTCGCCGGTGATAGGGGAATTTCTGTGGTTCCCTGGCAGCTACCTGTATGTTTTAATACGTTTGCGAAAGGGTGACAAAAGAAGTTACTCAGACTTTATCCGAGGACGTTTAAGTAAATTTCAGATGCCTATGTGCTGTTTTTTATAAATTTTGTGCGTTAAGAACAACTGGAGACACATCAAAGTCCAGTATGATTATTTTCGGCTTGTTTGCCATAATCAAAGAGCTATATCTCGACTATGCATCACGAGAGCGCTCGAACGCGAGCTTGTTCTCCTCGTTTATTGCACGCCAAGACATCATATGCCAGAAACTTCCCTTCTGTCTTTATGTAACGGACCCCATTTGGAGCCACTTTGCGATTAGCAAAATGGTGCGAGTCAGCTTTGTTGGGGAGTCTTATAATTAAACGCTCTGGCAGTTTCTTTAATATTAAATTTTAAGGGTTGCTTTCTCGTCTGCTTTCCATGCAGTTTAGGAATGTTTTTCAAAAAATCCCTTTGACAATTATGATCCGCTGTCGCGAGTCTTTTTAAATTTTTGCTTTTTGCCCCAAAACAGCTAGTTCAAGGTTTTGATCATTAGATCTCTGGAAGACTTAACGTCCATCAAGCCATGTACAGAAGAACCGAGTGTGGTTACTTTTATGATAATTTGTCGCGCCTGTCCGAGAGTTAAAGGTCTGCAATGTAAGCACTGCTCATCCTGTTGACGGGGGTTTTAGACATCTTAGCTACTCGGTTCGTAGACGGTCAGTAAGAAAGCACTCGTGGTTTAGTACCGCGCCATCGTACTGGACCCTCGTTTAAATAGCCGGCTTCCGATGAACAGAGCATCTGAACACTCTGAGGAATATTTGCAGAATGTCATTTCGAACTGTGACGCTCAATCTGTTGCATTTCCTTACGCTTACTATCTGTGTCCTGTTCTTTCATAAGTGTGGCTAATTCCAGAGATACTGAAAGCAGCGCGGCCTTTTGCGTCTCTGCGTATTTCTCGTAGCACGGTAACTCCAGCTTGACTTCTCGCTGGCATACAAATCATGGGTTCGGAAGGGATATGCCATGCAGCGAACGAAGGCAGGTAAATCATCCGCGTTCAGTTGGCCCTCGAATTTATTTAGGGTGACGACGTCTGGTGAATGAATGGTAGTGGCGACGGATCGGAACTTTCAAAAGCATTCTGTGAGAAGTGTACAAGGTGGCAGGGAATTTGCGAACCTCCTCGTTCTTCCCTGTGCCACCGAATACGCAAACTGGTTCATGAAGGCCTGCGTGTGACCATCCCCGGGAACTCTGCCGCGGCACGCCTCTCACCTTTGTTTTCCCCTCTCCTCGGTGATAGTCGTCTGCGTGTGTTTAAATATTTTATGAGGATCTCTCATGCGCCTCCGACTTTCCGCCGCTACCAAGACCTGAAATACTGTCTAAGCTGACTTAAAAAGTCCCGCTTAGTTCAGTTACATGATTCCAAACTGAAAGCATTTAAGGAATCTAATAAGACATACGTCCGCGAATTTTTGTATACTTTGAGATGGAACGCCAGAAATGATAACATGATTTAAAATAACCCAGTTCGACCTGTTTTCCATCTTTAGTCAGCTAATTGCGCTTCAGGACAACATCAACTTTAAAATGGTTATTTTGGATGCTACTGTGTGAATTTGTGTGTTTTTTGCTTTTTTTAAAAGCACTGCTAAATCCCGCCAAGTATTTTCTTCTTTAAGACCAATTCGGTATGTCTAAGTTTGCTGGTCACGTCTCTCACAACGTACACCATGTGTTTTCGCTTTTAAAGATGACATTTTAATTTTGAGAGACCTTTGATCTATTTGATATAACGCGAATGGTGATAACGTAAACATATAACTGTGATCTAAGCTGATGGTATTTGAATACGTAATGAATGTTACACTCGGAATCAGATAATGATGGAATGGGGTATTCATCCGAGACTTCGGAAGAATGAAGCTGTTGTTCCAGCAAATCGCGTTGGCTCCAAACTAAAAGGTTTGCATATTCTATCGAGAATAAAAAGTTTAACAAAATTTGAAACTAGTAATTTTAATGCTTCCTGAACAGAGCTCGCTGTAGTGTAACATTTGCTCTTCAACTTACTGTCACAAATTATTTTCCATAAAAGTGTACAGCCCAATTTGAGTTAAAATCAATTTCTCCTTTCGGTCAGAGTATTTGCTTTGTAACCACTTGAAGTTCCTACTTATGGAGATTTTCTTCAGCATATGAGACGTTTGTTTTATTTGGTTAAAACATGCTAGAATATAGTGGTGAAAATGCGATTCCCGGGTGGCATATCAAAAGAAGAGGAGGCGTTCACCGGGAGAGGTGTATTTGAGGTCTGACGTTTCGGGTAGTCGTTTCTTCTACCCATCTTCAGAGACTGAGCAGTCGTGCACACAGCTTTCTTTTTATGGCGCACTTTGTCCAATGCCTGGCACATCAATGCCGCCTGTGCGGTTGCATCCGACCCGCATGTCATCGTGACCTGAATCCCGCCCATCCTCGCCGGCCGCGTTGATAATTTGCGGCCCCGATTGTCCTGCGCCGTGACTGTCCCCCGTCAAGAATGTCCGTAAAATCAGATAAGGGGGAGGTGAATTGATGTGGCGGTTGACAGGACAGTCTGTAGACATCCAGGCTTCTTGTACCTGCCTTGCCGCATGATCATCACCTCGGCCCACAATTTCAACGGCGTCAAAGTTGAAGACGTGTCCCATTTGGGCGGTATGGGTTGCTACCTCCGACTTTGGGTCCAACCTTCGCACGGCCAACTTATGCTTGTGCATGCGCTTTTGCAGCCGTCGGCCGGTTTCCCCAACGTAGTTACACATTCCCCAGCTACACTGAAGTCGGTAGACAACAGCCGACATCTGTTTAGGGATCGGGTCTTTTGGCCGCATCACTTGCCGGCGGATTGCTGAGTCGGGCCTGTGGGCAACGCCTATTCCGAGCGGCCCGAGGGATCTGGCTACGGCTTCGGAGACCCCTTTCATGTATGGAATGCTCCGCCACGATTTTGGCTGAATAGGTTCTTCATTCCTCATCCTTGGTTGCTTTCGGTTCCGTTCAACGAATGTTCGCGGATAGCTGTTGGCTCTGAAGAGTTCTTGGAGGAGCTTCATCTCGTCCAGTTTGGCGACTGGAGTGCTGCAATGAGTTTCCACCCGTCGGTACAGCGTGCGGACACAGCTTCGTTTGTGTTGTGGCGGGCGGTTACTGTTGTAGCTGAGAATTTGCAGCGTGTTCGTCGGTTTTCTGTAGACTGACGTCGCCAGTTTACCGTCTGGTTGGCGGCAGATGAGAACATCCAAAAATGAAAGTTTGCTCTCCACTTCTTCTTCCATCTTGAACTGTTGGTCGGGAATGACTGAGTTCAGTAGTTCTTCATAGTAGTTAATTTTATCCTGATCGATGATTGCGAAGGTATCGTCAACGTAGCGCGCCCAAAACTTTGGTTTGTATTCCCCGAATAGTCATTTCTCGAGTTTTTGCATAACGGCCTCGGCAATGAGTCCGGAGATTGGTGAACCAATCGGAGTGCCCTTAATTTGCTCATAGGTGATCCCCTCAAAGGTAAAAAATGTCTTGAGGCAGTGCCCATGAGTTCTATGAGATCCTGAGCTGTGGGCTGGCCATCGCCCTCGTCGTAATTCTGACGAAGCGGGTCACTGAGCGTCTCGACCGCAAGGGCCTGTGGTATGGACGTGAAGAGTGAGACGACGTCAAATGACACCATCCTCTCATTCCGTTCGATCGTGACCGCCCTTATTTTGTCGAGGAATTGCTCTGCTGAGTGTACTGTTGTTTCTGAGCCCGCGGTTAGGAATCTTAGCTTCTGAAACAGCCAATTTGCGAGCCCGTACGTGGGTGTGCCTCGGAGTGAGACGATTGGTCGGAGGGGAACATCTGGCTTGTGTACCTTTGGAAGACCGTAGAATCTCGCCATCGGTGTTTTTGTGGGCTTTGTCATATACCATTCTTTGACAGTGATGACTTTTTCCTTCTTTAGTCGAGACAGAACCCTGCTAACCCTCGCCAGTAGGGACTTTAGACTGGCGGCGTCGCTGACCATGAAGGACTCCCGGTCGTTGAGAAGCATGAGCGCTTTGTTTCGGTAATCCATCTTGCTAGAATATATAAGCAAAAATGGCTTTTCTGACGTTCCATTCGGACGAGTGGTAAACTGACAGCGCAAAAAATCAATGTCAAGCCTCTTAAAAAAGACCGATTCCGCTATAAAATATGTCATTGCTTGAACTTTCCAAACAACATTCTTTATAGTGCAGTTATTACATAGGAATTTGGGCCATCAAATTTTCCGATCATATGAGAGAAATTAGAAGACCATTTTTGGTTAGCATTTTGGGATTTTAACGAATAGCATCGTAAATAGAGAACTTGATTTGAATGAGACTAGCCTAAGTGGAGCTTCATCTGCACTGTCTTTTTAAAATAAGTCAGATTTATTCAGAGGTCGAAATTAAGTTTTCAGATAATTTTTACATCTTAACCTGCTTGAGATGACAGTGTAACCGTTTGCAGACTGGTATATGCCAAAAGATTTAAGATCTATAAACAAACTAGGGACAATTATTTGCTTAATTTACAATTTGTTGTCAGATATATGAGGACTTGGATGTTATTTATTACGTTTTTGCTCATTCAACGGCCGAAATTAAGTCAACACCCGTTCTGTACAACTGTTTGATTTTTGAAAATGACAGCGATTTAATGCTCCAGAAATGATTAGCATATTCAAACGACAAAATATATTTTGCCGAAAGTAAAAAACACGCGAAGGCCATAGCAAGTTTCGATTTTTTGCTTTCAAAAAACATACTCTAATACACTTGTATGCAAATGAATACTGATGTTCTAAGCCCCCTATTACGCCTTCTCTTTGACCCTAGATGGAATTAGTACATGAATACAAATTCGTATCTCGTTCTGTTTTTTATGTTCTTCGAATACGGTGAGGTAAAGCATGTTTACGAAATTGACACACGCAATCGATACAAATTACGCACATTTTTAAGTGCTCTCAGGTCAGTTTGCGATGGCAACTTGATAAATCCTACCGGATAAATCAGCATATCGATTCGCAGAAACAAAGTTGAACTAATGCCCCAACGAGTCAGTTTTCAGCTTTACGTAAAGAGTCTTTTGCATCTGAAAGCTGTCAGAAATTGTCGGCCATTTTGGCATATGTTTCAGTGAGCATCAGTTCAGGAAAAAATGGAATAGTTGTTTTGAGCATACAGAAGAATTACGATGGCAGTGTTATTGCCTCCACGATATTTTTGTCTGGTTTAGCGGAAGAAGTATCAAAGTCTCAGGGATAATTTATTTTGGCTTTACTCAAGTATCTCAGACCTTGTTTTGCTCGACTGGCTCATTCATTGAGAATTCCTCTCCAAAGTTGAAGAACTTAAATTTGGTCCGCGGTGGTCTGTATAAAAAAGTCCTCTTGTTGCAAATTGTATGGGCTGTCGCTGTAAGATGAGATGAAGTTCTCCTCGGCTTAATAGTGAGCTTAGTCTTTTGTGTCATTGAGAGGAGTAGTGAGGGTCAACGCATTTCCCTATGGTAGTTGAGAAACAGATGTAATTCGGAAATGCAGTACAAGAACCCGAAGACATAAAAGGCGGATTCCAGGTAGTTTAGTGAAACGATTTTTTAACAAATATTTCTCCGCCACAGTTCTTTGGAGTGGAGCGGCCTTAACCTCGTAGAGATACGAGACTATTTTTATTTTTAAGAAGATACAATTAATATTTGAAAGTATTTTAACCAGCGGGTCCTTCCTCACCAAACTTTAGTTAAATTAACGTGTGGAATTTTATAATTGATGCGCTACTAATCCCTGTCTACGTTTTAAAAGAATGTTAATCAGGGAATCATGAGGCGGTGCTAACTCGCATAACACTGCATTATGCAAGCATAAGGCAGGACGCGTGGGTTCGGGCGACAAGCGCCTTGGCTTAACCGCCATAGACGTGGCTTCTTATTGTCGAAGATAACTACCCTATTCAAAAATCCCCCGCAACTCTAGAGCAACTTATCACTCAACTTTTCATGACCTTTCGCCACCCTACACGTGGATAAAATAGCCGCAAAGCCTATCCGTCGAAATGGATATGCCTCGAAAATATCTCCTCTTATACGCTGATGTGCCGTTAAACATTGATGCTATTACAGGCACGAATATCGCCATACGATGACGTCGCGATTCAAAAATTATGATTAACCTGACTGCCCTACCAATTGTACAATTTTATTTGGACAATTCTTTCTTTTTACTCACCTTTTAGTCATTTTTAGCATGCATATGATGCTTGGAGAACATTCTTCGCTGAAGATCTTGAAATAGTCATTTTAAAAGTAGACTAGCTCGAAACACCTTTAAAAGACAGCGGCCCTCTGATACTAGAATGTGGGCCGCACTTCGTGAGACGGACCATCAAAATGCGAGTGAAACATTTAGTAAAACGTGTCAAATTCCGTGTCACAACTGCTCCTATCAGTTTACAATCCAAACGGCACGATGTCCCGGCTTAAAATTGCATAGGCTCAAGCCGATGGTTTAGCGGACGACCGGCTCTTCCATGTAAATACGAGCAAGCTAGAGGCAGAACATTTATAAGCCTCGTGGGTGCATGCAAAACTACTTGAATCGCCCAAAAGATGGCAAAGTTTTCTGCAAGACTGGATCTTGGATAGCAACTCCGCAATCTGACGAAGCCAATTTTTCCCGAAACTTAATATCACGCACGTCAATTGGTGCAATTCGGTTAACAATCCAGGACACGCTTTGTGAGAACCTATAAAAAGCACTGAGCCTCCAACATCGGGGACTAGCGGAGATCTGAAATGTTAAAGGAATGTGTCAACTCCTCCGGCACTCGCTCGCTACTCCGTCTGGCACAAAAAACGTAAAAGTAGTATTTTTGTCTCTTTTTTAGTAGACGGAGGTTTTGAATAGTTGTTGTGTATTTAGACGTTTGAAATGAGGTTTAAAGACGACAAAGGTCAAGAAGGAGCTTTTTGTTCGTGAATAGAATGTCACATGCGTTTGTGGCTGACAAGCGAAAAGAGCACAGTCTCGCTGCTCGCACCGAATGTTATGGACTGTCAACACTGGTCTTATAGACGCGTGATATCAGGTTGTCGGCTTCGTGCAGTACTGGAGCTCGATTGTCGAGGGAACAGTTTTTAGGAAAAATGTAAACTAAATTCAAAGTTTCCAATTTATTACTAGCGTTCCGGTTATTGAAACTTTGTACATCAAAACTCAAATTTACGGTTTTCTGGGCTACTATTCCATTTTTCGTAAATGTTATCTGTCGCAGTGCTTTGCAGCAGACTGTCCACGAAATTATGCAGCCTAGTAAGCTATTAACAAAGGACGTCTGGCTGCCTAACTCACCACATTTTTGAGCTAACATAAAAGTATGGCTCGTCAAACCGATAAGTACTTGTCTTTATCGTTATTGTAATACTTGATTGCTTGCATATGCATGATTTATTAAAATTGACTTCACAAGCATGCAATACTTAGCTAATTCGCGCAAAAAAGTCCTTAGACTGGAAACGCAATTATTGTCCCTGGAATGTATTGATTAATTAAAATAAGGGTATTTGGGCAACTCCTGACGGACTTGATAGCTAAATGCCAGTTTAGAAAAGCAACATTTACTGCCATTTAAGATGACTTGAGACAGCTAAAATGTAAAGATAACTAATTTATCTCTTCAGTAGCGCAGCTTTTTCACGTCTTCATCAGAGTTTGATCACAAAAAATTCGTTAAATCTCCACAACATTCCATTAAAACATTTGCATGCACTTTTCGATGAGCGGTAGCCTCTCATATAGTTAAAGTCCTTAGATTTTTTGAAGTCCAAAAATGAGCCACGCATGTTTAAACTATTCCTTCCTGACAATAAGTAGGCAAAAATGAAGGCACAGTCGTTTACGATAGCCAACTGCATATGAACAAGCCAATCGTATACCTAATTCAACAACCCAAAAGTATGCTGAGTCTCAGGGGGTGGAATCGGGTAGTGCCATTGTCTGAGTTTAACTAAATTTAGTGCGACTCCAGATAGCTGTTTTTTTGAAATGTCGATCGCTTAAGAAGCTCACGTTGTGAGAAAGGAGAAAATTAAAAACGAAGTATTTAAATAACTAAATATATAACGACGCTTGAAATGGAAGGGAAAGAATGTGAACAGCCATTGGAAGCTCAGGAAGGGAGCATAAATAGGCACAACAACATACATTCAACACGTTGTAAACCAACGATATTAGAAAAAACCTTTAAATTCCGAAAAACGCTGTTTTTTC